ACACACACACACAAACACACACACACACACACACACACACACACACACACACACACAGAGCAGCGTGGTCACTTTCAGATCGCAGCTGCTGGTAATATTAATTTTGTTGTGCTGAGAATCTGAAAGGTTTTGGCTGTATTTCTGTGCCGGCGTCGAGAGCCCATCTGATAACGCTGATTTATGTGGCCACACTGTAATATTCATTACAGATGCTGCCTGATCCTGTAAACAAATGATTATTGGGAGAAGCTGTGCAGATTAAGAACTCTTGGTTTTTTGCTGACCGCTCAGTTCAAAGCCTCTGTGGAATAAAAACGTGCACACACAGGAAAACAAGCGATCTGATTGGCTGGAGCGGCTCAGCTGACTCCCCTGCGGGTCGCAGCTATTGGCTGTCACGTTGAGCTACTGTATTGTGCTAAAGGCTCTGTCAGGACTGATTCACTGTATTGTAAACGTAATTGACATTTCATGGAGCTTTGTGCAATAGCGGGGGTCAAACACCTCAGGAAAGTGCAACAACGTTGTGAGGAGCATCTTAAGGTTGTAATGCTTAATTAAGCCAAACATATCAGCCTTTTAACATATATTTTATAGTTTATTAACTTAGCTTGTGATAGCACAAAGCAGTTTACCAACACAGACTCATTATTTGTCTGAATGCATGTTTGAAGACTGACAAAATATATTTTGAATCACTGTAGGCACCCATAGAACAGGACTGATCTCACCAACTTCCAAGAGAGAAGATAATAAGATGCACAGGTTCAGGTTTTGGTGTTAACCCTGAACAAGCGTGTGCATGTGGGAGCGTCGCTCTTGTATGCAGGAGCAAACAGAATGAAGGCAGCTATTTATGAAAAGAAGCTGCGTGGGTTCGAGAGAACGTGGTGTTCCCCCGCTCACTGTGACAGCCGATTCCCTCATCGAATTACTCCTGTAAAGCCCTAAACGAATCAGAACACACGCTGAGCCCAAACGCAGATGTGATTAAACAGCAAGCCAATCTACATATTAATCCATTTGCTCAACTAACAGTTAATGTCACTTATCAAGACTAACTCCCAAGATTAACCAGAACAAATGTGCATTTCCTAAAGGACAGAGTAGCTAGCACTTGCAAAGTAACCTCATAATATAATGTTAATGTTTTAGGTGAGTTAGGTTTTAGGTCAGGTAAATGTGCAAATTAAAAAGTGCATCAGAGCTTTGCGTTTGTCATGACATGCTTATTGTTTTCTATCTGCTGTGCACAAGAATCAATATAAGGCAGCTTTGAAAATTAAAATTTGATCGAAATTTACTCACCCTCAGGCCATCCAAGATGGAGAGTTTGTTTCCTCATCAGAACAGATTTGGAGAAATGTAGCATTCCATCACTTGCTCACCAAAAGATCCTCTGCAGTGAATGGGTGCCGTCAGAATGAGAATGTTTATAGTCCAAAAAATATGTTGGTGGATTTTGATGAGAGAGGAAAACTGGGGATGGACATTATCACTGGAGGAAGTGTTAATATAGATTATGGATTCATATTTTAACTGGAAGCAATAGTTTATTGTTGAAAGGTCTTAAGGATTTGTTTCTTCAGCTTTTCATTTCACAAGATGTTAACTGATGGACTGGAGTGGTGCGGATTACTTGTGGATTATTGTGATGTTTTTATCAGCTGTTTGGACTCTCATTCTGACGGCACCCATTCACTGCAGATGATTCATTGGTGAGCAAGTGATGGAATGCTACATTTCTCCATATCTGATGAAGAAACAAACTCATCTACATCTTGGATGGCCTGAGGGTGAATACATTTTCAGCAGATTTTCATTCTTGGGGAACTTTTCTCTTAAACAGATATAAAAAAAGATCAGCAACAAATCACTATGCAAACAAATGCAAGAAAACGAAACCACTCGCAATTCGGTATGCAAATATGACTGTCAGTTAAGTATACAAAAACCAAAAAGGGTCCCTGTACGTTAAGTAATTCTGCATGAATCAATTAAAGAAGTCTTAATACTTGGGTATTAAATTTAATACTTTAAGATTGATCAGTTTTATACTAAATGCTAATTAATTTTAATACTTAAAGCCATGTAAGAACCGCAATCACGTCTTTGGCAAAGTTTAAGGGTCTTTATAACCAGATACTGTTGTTCTCAAATCTGCACTTGAGGTGACTTTCTAAATGTCAGACGAGAACGGCAAATGCTCGTTCACCTAAGCAGGGGAAAAACATCCTTCTGTAGAACTTCAGCACTCAGAAATGGAAATGTGCATGAATTATTCCTGTCTGAGTCTTCAACAGCGAGATTTCCAATTAAATTATACCTGCTATACTGTAGATCCTGCTGTTAAATGAGTGTATGATCATCATTATCACATGTACGCTGAACCTTTATTTACTGGCATGAGTATGAGTCAAAGTAGTGTGTTTACTGGAGACATCCAGAGACATCTTCAAAGGTAAAGAGTAGGGCTGCCCCCGGCCCCTAATAGTCAACTAACCATTAGTCGACCAGAAGAGGCTTGGTCGACCAAAATTGTATTAGTTGCTTAGTCGCAGAATAAATAAATAAAACTCCGGCTGGTTAACGGCTGGTCTATGTGGTAGGCTAATACAGTACATCGGGCAGGACATCCAAACACTCATCATTCATTGACTTCAAGTATGGCTTATCTTAAATATGGAGCAACTTTACATGGCCGCTCAATCTAATGTTAACCTAGAAACATTTGCGCTATTCAAGTGTCTGTGCAGAGTGTGGAGCTGAATAGTTAGCACGCTCACTTGCACTTAAAATACTCCGTCATTTTTGGTCATACAGATAAGAGTAATAACAGACATTTCTTGCTGGATGAAGGACCATCACCTTCAACTCAACCTTGCCAAGACAGAACTGCTTGTGGTTCCAGCAAACCCATCGTTTCATCACAATTTCACCATCCAGTTAGGCACATCAACCATAACTCCTTCAAAAACAGCCAGAATCCTTGAAGTTATGATTGATGATCAGCTGACTATCTCAGACCACATTGCTAAAACTCCCCGGTCCTGCAGACTTGCTTTATTCAACATCAAGAAGATCAGGCCCTTTCTTTCAGAACATGCAACACAACTCCTTGTTCAAGCTCTTGTTCTGTCCAGACTGGACTATTGCAATGCTCTCTTGGCAGGTCTTCCAGCCACTTCTATCAAACCTTTACAATTAATCCAGAACGCGGTAGCAAGATTCATTTTAATGAGCCAAAAAGAATGCACGTCACACCTCTGTTTATCAATTTGCACTGGCTACCAATAGCTGCTTGCATAAAATTCAAGGCATTAATGTTTGCCTACAAAACCACCATTGGCTCTGCACCCCTTTACCTAAATTCAGAGTTATGTGCCCTCTAGAAGCTTGCGTTCTGCAAGTGAACGGCGCTTTATTGTGCCATCCCAAAGTACAACAAAATCACTTTTACAGACTTTTAAATTAAATGTTCCCTCCTGGTGGAATGACCTGCCCAACTCAATCCCAGTAGCTGAGTCCTTAGCCATCTTCAAGAATCGGCTAAAAACACATCTCTTCCATCTTTATTTGACCCTCTAACTCTAGCACTCTCTATTCTAATTCTATTCTTTAAAAAAAATAAAAACGCTTGTCCCTTTTAGACTTGCACTCTATTCATTTGCTGCTTGTTTTCTAAGAAAAAAAAAAAAACCTAACTCTAGCATTCTAATCTTTTTGTATTCTATCGGTTTTCTTTTCATTTATTATACAATTAACAAAAGCAAAAAAGACCCCTAACACTAGCTTGCGCTATTCTTTTTCTATTCTATCCGTTTTCTTTTTATATATTATATTATTTAAAAAACCCTTGCTACGTGTACTGCGTTAAGCTAACTGAGACTTGTTATAGCACTTGCGTATCATTGCTCTTTTGTTGATTTCGATTGCTTCCATTGTCCTCATTTGTAAGTCGCTTTGGATAAAAGTGTCTGCTAAATGACTAAATGTAAATGTAATACACCTTTCGAATCTGTAAAGACACTATGTTTATTTGTGTGCACTCATAATAACAACAAAACATTGCACTTTTCATTATTATGATTTAAATGATTGATTCATAAATGTGCGATTAGTCGACTAATGCTTCAAATGAACGACTACTAGTCGACCAGACAAATCTTTAGTCGAGGGCAGCCCTAGTAAAGAGCATATCTAGTCAGATAAACGTGTGTGGAGTTACCTTGAGGAGTTTAGCGTGCAGCAGTAAGGTGTATCCAGCCTCGGTGTAGTTATCACACTCCTTATGCAGGTCACACAGCTTATACAGGTACCTACACACACACGCAAAATGACATAAAAAACTTTATGACATTAAAAAAAAAACTTTAACAAAATAAACTCACTAAGGCCACCAGCTCAGAGGAGCTACAGAGTTCAGATTAACTCGACATTCACATATTGTATGAGTCCATACACAGGGAATGATAGAGAAACCTTTGTTTTCTATTCTTAAGATTCTTAAAGACAAAAATTCCAAATAGAACATAGATCATTACGGATTTCTATCTTGATTTGTCAAGACATGTATCCCAAATGATGCACTATACACTATGCACTTTTCTATGCAGTAAGTACTCAACTGTTTACTGCAGTAATTATATCAGTTTATTTTGTCATCCAACACACTAATCACACTATTTATACAAAATATAAAAAACAGCATAGAATAATGCATGAGTATGCAAACTGGGGTGCTTCAGTTGTGGTAAAATACACACTATAGTAAATATGATGTGAAATACCTATTCACCTAGTTACTTAGTGGAACAATGCACTAAATGCATTTGCTGAATAGAATAATGTTTTTTTATCTAAATATAAAAGACAAAATATAAAACTAAAATAATATATAACATTTAAATTATATGTATATAAGCATTATATGTAAATATATGCCAGTGTTATTTTAGTATCTTTAAGATACTAAGTAACGATTTTACTATAATTATTATTAATATCTTAGTATTTAAATTAATATTAGTATTTTTTTGTTGTTTTTATATTTTTTGTTTATTTTAGTACAAGTTAAAATAAATGAAGAATATGCTAAAGAGCAGCACGTACTGCATCTGAAATAGATTTTTAAAAATATTATAAATATCTTTTCTGTCACTTTGGCTCAATTTATTTGTCCTTGCCAAGCAAAAGCAGTTTTCTTTCAAAAAAATATTTTAAATAGTCGCGGTCTTTATCTTTCCTCACTTCCATAAGCACGACTTGACCTGCATCTGGAATTCTCATTGGTTAGTTTTTTCTTTTCTTTTCCTCTTTCATTTTTCCATGTTCTTCCACACAGACACACAGACACACACACACACACACACACACACACACACACACACAGACACACACAAACAAACAAACACACACACACACAAAGCCACTCACCTGATGTACATCTCTTCTCTCTCGATCTCCTTGTAGAAATTCTGCAAGGGAAACAGGCACATACAAGGTCACTTATTCATACTAAACACATCCTGACCTCAGTTCACAAAGACCTACAAATCTGTGTTTCGGAGATAATGGGCTCTAGAAGTGCTGTTGATTTCTACACCGACCAACGAGACGATATGAGAGTCATGTTTAAAACGAGGACTCTAACGGCACGTTCAGATTTAATGTGCATTCGTGTCTTAGTACATCCTGCTAACAAATAGATGTTCAGTTCACTTGTAAAACTGGTGATTACATGTGTGAGCGTGCAGTCAATCATACAAACGAAGCCATTGGACGTGGAGTTAACAGCATTGTTTCAGTGAGAGATTGTTTTTGATATGTAGTACTGTCAGCTTCAAGTTCTTCATTGATGCTATGTTTGAAGAAAGCCGTAACATTAATGCTCGTGGGCATGTACAAAGAGTTTGAGCCAATTATAAAGTTACAAAGAAGCTGATGCAATTACTCCACGCCATCAGGACACCTACACACTACAGTTACAGCGCACTCCGTCAGGAAATAGATGCATTTATATGAGTGAAGATGCATTGCAAAACTCGAGGGTTTGCTGCATTGGTGCTCCATTGAGAAACGAAATGTTCTCCTCACCAGCACATTGACTGTGCAGCTCATGCGGTTCTCCTTGCTCTCGTCGTGCATGATGGTCCTGTAGTCCAGAAGTCTCTCCAACAGACGGACCACCAGAGTTACGAAGGTTTCGCCTGACGTAGCCAGATACTTGTGCTTCCTGCAGTGCTCCAACAGACTGTCACACACACACACACACACACACACATTAATATTGGAAGATACTCTACAATGTCATAAACTGTAAACATGCAACAGCATGTGCAATGTATGAAGTCAACATGAAAGCGATTTTGATTTCATGCTCAATTTATATGTCCCTAACCTCCTTATGAAAGTCAACATTAATTGCCATAATACAGTGTATTTCCAAGCAAAATGCACTGATGAGTTAGGCATTATGATATTGGTTTACAGTTGTGCATGGACCATTGATACATAAGAAAAAAAAATTTGAGAAGCAAAGTTATATTTCACTGAAAGATTTACTTTCAATGAAAATAAACATTAATTTTCTTTAAGCACAATACGTTTTAAGAACATTTTATATGCAAAGAAAATACATTTCATTTTAAACATTTAATATGGATATTTAATATGAAATACCAGTGTTATTATAGATGAACAGAAATGCTATTGTGGTTTGTTAATTTGTTAATTTTTATATTTTCTGTTTTCACTTCTCAAAGTTTTTGTAATTTTGTTGTGTTTTTATATATAATACATATATATTTTATATATCATTGTATGTCGTTTTTGTATTTTTTATATATATAATATGTCTATAGTTATTATTTTTTAAAAGTTATTTTAGTACTTAAGTAAAACTAAACAAAATTTAGAAATTTAGTTTCCTTGGCTAATAGCTGATATCTATATATATATATATATATCTCTCTCTCTCTATATATATATATATATATATATTATTTTTTCCCCCATAAATAAAAATTAAATATTTATACTATATTACATAGTTTAAATACTATATTAAATATTAAATATTTAATATAAAAACATCCACATTAATTAGGATTCGTTTTTATTTTTTTTGGGGTCGTTAAAAACACAAACCTGTTCTGCTCATGTAGCATCATGTAGAAATGATATCAATATCACTATCAGTGTGTGCGTATGTGTGCGATCTGCGCTCACATCTTCTGGAAGAGGACTTTGTACTGTTCATCTCCTCGACCGCCTTCCACCTCGTGATCCAGCTTGGTGATGATCTCGTTCTCAAACTGCAATTAAACACAGCGGCCGTAAATAACGAGTGTGGCTAATTTTTCATTTCATTAGCGTCGTTCCTCCCAACCCTCCTCTCTCTCCTCCTCCTGCGTTTTCTCTCTCTCTTGCGCTGTGTCACAGAGTAATCAGCCGTTATCAGTCACAGCGACTGTGAGCTCAACTTTATCTGCTCATTACCATCACTGCGCTTTATCAGACACACACACACACACACACACACACACACACACACACACCTGTCTGAGGGACTTTCTTTCAGATGCTGCTCTTCCTGCTGTTATAGAATAAATCAACATGACTATACAGCATAGATGAAAACACAATGCAAACACACATTATGATTTCTGTCCTCCTCACATCATCCTCATATGTTAGATAACTCACAGACCTACTGTAGATGTCATTATTAGCATCAATGTTACTAATTAAAATTCCCTAACTTGATAAAGTTTGATGCAATTGTTGCCTGGTGGACAATAAAACTGCTATAAAAGCCCATAAACTGTAGACATCACGAACAGTGCTTCACTTCCATGTTTAGACTGGATTGTATTTGTTACAATCTCAATACAGTGGAATTAACATTACAAATTAATTTATTGCTGATACAAATACAAACATGAAAAGCAGATGTCTATAGTAAATGTGCAATATATATATATTTGCACCTTACTTCAGTTATATTTTAAATACATAAAACAAAGAAAATAAAATGATAGAATTATAAAATAAAAGCAAAATACAGAGTAGTATAGCAAAAATACATATTTTATGATTAAAAACACAAATGTAACAAGCACATAGTTCACGGTCTATGGTAAATGTGCAATACATATTTGCAGCTTATTTTGGTACATTTGAAAGAAATAAAACAAAATTAAACAAAATACATTTCTAATTGTTTAGTAGTTGTTCATTTTATTGTTGGCTTTTTTAAGGGTTGCTACATTAAATTTCATTGCATTGCACATCATCTGAAATGTTTGATGTTTATCAAATATTTGCTCAAACTACAAGACTAGGTCAACACACAATGAACACCACCAAAGCACGAGAGAGAAATGGACGGTTTTATACACACGGGCCTGTCTGCCAGTGTTCCCGATCAAGCAGTCAGAACAGCAATTACCGCTTCATACAGACTCAAGTGCTCTGAGACTCAAAGTCCACATCACAATCAATGAACGGATGTGACTGATATTCTGTGCCATCACTTGCATTAATGTTCAATACGCTCTCATATTAATGTATTAATGCGTCCCATGGGACAGGCAGGGCGTCAAATACTCGCTGAACCTGGGAGAGATTTCAGATCAAACCGAAGCTGCAGTTTGCAGTCCAAAGACACTCTCGCATATGTAGATTATCATAAAAGCAAAGCATATCAGAGGAAGCAGTGAATCCATAACCTTCCAGCAGTGATCTTTGAGGTAGATGAAGATCTCTGAGGGATGTGGAACGAGGGCTGCATCCGAATTTGTACACTAGATAGTACGCAAGAACAGAACTAGCAGATCTTGAGCTACAGTATGTTAGAAGAATGCAAATGAACTGTTTTCGAATGCTCACATGCGTATTTGCACACATGCTCTATTAAGAGCACTGCAACTGTCTGTTTACTTGAATAATTACTTTAAAAACCAGAAGCAATGTTTAATTACTGAGAAACACCTGAAGACTACATGTGCAATTGTTAGCATTTTAAAATTTAAATATGATTATTATAAATATTTAAAAAGAACATTTTAACATGTTCTGTAGCATATTAGCTTTTGCTGTGCTAATAAAGTCATGATTTGTTGTATTTAGCATTGCCTACTGAAATGTTGGTATCATGACACTACTAAAAATAACTGTAAATGCACTACCAATAAACCCTGTATCAATTATTGTGGTCAGTAATTTTTTTATTTTCCTTTTTTTTTTAAAGAAATTAATATTTTATTCAGCAATGATGCATTAAACTTAAAAAATGAAAGTAAAGATATTCATAATGGTGCAAAAGATTTCTATTTCAAATTTAATATTTCTATTCATCAAAAAAAATATCACTTTCCACAAAAGAAGGAAAAAAATAATCAGCTAAACTGTGCTTAACTATATTAATAAAAATAAATGTTTCTTAAACAGCAAATCAGCATATCAGAATGATTTCTGAAGGATCATGCGACTGAAGACTGGAGTAATGATGCTGAAAATTCAGCTGCGCATCACAAGAAATAAATTGCATTTTCATATATATTCACATAGAAATCAGTTATTTTAAATTGGAATAATATTTCAAATTTTTTACTGTATTTTTGATCAAATAAAAGCAGCTTAACGAGCTGAACGAGACGCAGATTCACTCTCTGCCAGCAGGTGGCGCTTAAAGCGTTTCCTGGTTTCCGCTGTAAACAAAGCAGCGCTGCACTTATGAACTTTCATATGCATTATACAGCGGCAAGAGGAAAAGAAAAAAATACCATCGAAAAACAATACGTTCCCCTCAGACAGACATACACATAAACTCCTACCCCTAACTGAATCGCGATTTATTTAGCATCTCAACCGTTTTGAATCGTCACATATTTAAATCGATTTTCAACCGGCTCGTGGTTAATCGTTACATCCCTAAGTAACAAGTACGCAAATGAGGGTGCTTTTATCCCAGAAATCACACTGTCTGTGAGAACTGACCGTCTGGAAGCAGCGTCTGAAGTGAAACTCGCACTGCATCATGTCAAAGAAGATGGGAATGGTGGCTTTACGCAGCTCGATCTCAGGAACTAGCGTCATCTCCAGAATCGGACCCACCATCTCAGGGATAAACTTGATTTTGTGTGGACCTGCAGGATGTTGAGAAGAAACCAGTTAGCATGCCTGAACCCTTCAGTTGATTTGTTTAAGATCTTTTCGGTGTGTTTTATGCCGTACACACAGGATCTGTTTGTGATATTTTTGCCGGCAGGTGCAGCAGCACAGGGAATATCAGCTCTCTGCTACTGCCGCGCAGTGCCTATTTGTGTCTAACAACAACTTTTATGTATTTTGGTGAGCTGTGTACAACTTCTATTTCGGAGGCACGATTTCTACAGCTCTCAAAAGACAAAAGAATAATCTTCAGAGTTTTGCGCAAGCACAGTGCTGAATACAGCCAAAGATCTCTGAATCTCTGGTGTCTGTGACTAAACCCGCCAGCTAATGAACAACCAAAGGCGTGAGGTGGCAAAAATTCCTTCAGAGAGGAACGTGGAAGCCGAAAATACTTTCACAGCGGTACTTCCTCAACTGTCCTGCCACTAATTAGCACCTTCACTTTCAGAGCATTTCCGTTTGCACGACTCTAAATAACCGTGAGGTGTCTCGGTCGAAAAATAACCCGCCTGAATCAGTGCTAAAGCTGTAAGCAATGCAAATGTGCCAGACGCAAGCCTTACAAAAATAAACGATACCGAAGTTTGTGGTATGTGAAAGCTGGGAAACCTTTTAAAGATGCCATGGTTTTTCGGGACACATGGGGGTTGAGCCTTTTACCAAGCATCTCAGAGAAAAGCTACATATTTTAAATGTGTTTTGAAATATTATTATTATTTTTTAAATAACATAATGCTTTTATTCAGCAAGGATGCACTCAACTGATCAACAGTGACGGTAAAGACATTTATAATATTACAGAAGATTTTTCTTTCAAATAAATGTTCTTTCAATGCATCAAAATATCTTGAAACTACAGTATCGCTGTTTTCAACATTAATAAAAATAATAATGAGAAGAAATGGTTCTTAAGCAGCAAATCAGCATATTAGAATGATTTCTGAAGGATCATGTGACACTGAAGACTGGAGTAATGATGCTGAAAATACAGCTGCGCATCACGGGAATAAATTATATTTTAAAATATATTCAAATAGAAAACTGTTGATTTAAATAGTAATATTATTTCATAATTTTACTGTTTTTACTGTATTTTTTGAACAAATAAAGCCCTGGTGAGCAGAAGAGACTTTCAAAAATGTTTAAAAACCTTATCCAACCCAAAACTTTTGAACAGTATATTAATTGCGCAAAAAGTTGACTTTGTAAAAACCACATAAGCATATAGATGAGCTGAAAGCTATCAAACATGGTCTAAAAACCACAATCTTTTATTTTGGCTTCACTGCATCATTAATTTGTACTCCTACTAACAAAACAGCTCCTACTAACAAAACAGCTAGATGGACATATGAAATTGTGATTTTGAGCTGAAAATCATGTGAGAATATAGAGTGATTTGCAGTTACTTCACTGAGCTGCTATGCAAAAACTATACAAAACTAAGACATTATAGAACATTGCACAAAAACAAGTAGATTATGATAAACCAGAATGCAATAATGAACACTTATGTGTAAAGAACTTGCAGACAGACAAAGTCTTGTGTACTTTACATCTATTTTTGTCGGCTTTAATAATGTTCTGGTAAAGGTCGACTCACCCAGGTTGTACCACATGTCTCGGATCTCGAAGCCAATCTGTCGCCTCATGTCTTGATACCTGTAAAAGAAAAATATGAAGATATAAGAAAAAGACTTTAGCAAGATGTCTTCATAAAGTCAGAGGTATGAAATCAGAACATTTCAATTTCTTCTCCTGGAATTGGAAACATTTAGGGTTTGCTGTTCTAACAGGAGCGAACGGATGATCTGTGATTCAGAAAGAGGAGCAGAAGCTGTTCAGAATCAACGTCAAACGAGTTTAGGAAGTGGACAGAAGACAAGAGCGCAGACGCATCCCGAACCGGCACTCTCGTTCAAAGAAAGTGAGAAGAAAGCGGCATGAAGACAGATCCCTTATGCTTTACCTCTGCGGGTCTGGCACCCATTCATTAGCGCTGTGTCATCACATGCTGTCATTTTGGGATGCCTGTGGCCCTCGGCTGAATTCTGAGCCACCATTGATTGCTTTGTCAATACGTTCTCATCCAGTGGTAATTTATGATGACAAGGACAAGGCGCGTCAGAGCTCAGTTAACACACAGTAAAGCCTCTCACAACTCCCTCTTCATTCCTTCGTTTGACCCTCGTTCCTGACGTTCAATCATTTTTGCGACAGAGATGATGCAGATCAGATGCATGCTAGCATGCTAAAGCACACCACATGACTCATCTCGAGTCTGACCAGAACGTTATTCAACTCTGTGTGATCTGGGGTTTAATTTAGCAATACCAATGTGTTATTCTGGTAAACATGCCTACAGTTTTCATAAAGAAATTAATACTTTTATTCAGCAAGGATTGATTAAACATACTGCTCTTTCGAACTTTCTATTTATCAACGATAAAATAAATAAATTAATTAATAAATAGCATGGCTTCCACATGAATATGAAGCAGCATTGTTTTTTTAAATCAGCATATTAGAATGATTTCTGAAGGATCATGTGACACTGAAGACTGGAGTAATGATGCTGAAAATTCAGCTTTGCATCACAGGAATGAATTACATTTGACACAATATTCAAATAGAAAACAGGTACTTAAAACAGTAGTAATATTTCACATTATTATTGTTTTTACTATATTTTGATCAATTAAATGCAGCCTGGGTGAGTACAAGAAACTTTTTATTTAAAAAAAATCGTACCTATCCACAACATTTTTACAGTATTGTACACTAGAGAATACATTATTTTTATTTATTTCAGTCAATATTATCTCCTGAAGCAATTGACATTATGCTACAAACGCTGTTGATTAACTAGCTTAACTAGTACTGAACCCGGTGCATTTCTGTAAAAGTGTTATTTTAGTATCATTAAGATACTATTAATATTTTGAATCTGTTTTTTATTTTATATTTTCCATTCACATTTTAATTTCATATATATATATATATATATATATATATATATTCATTTACAAAAACAAATAACTCAGTTTTTAACAATTCAGTTTTTCCACTGTGCATTTCAATGAATCTCAATTGGGTTATTTTGAATTTGAAGTAAAATTAACAAAAAAAATACAGCTAACTAACATGATAAAAACATGATAACATAATAAAAAACATGATTTGGGAAAAAAAAATCCAAATAAACTTATTATTATTTTTGCAAATAAACTCATATATATATATATATATATATATATATATATATGCAATCTCAGATGCAGATAGTGAATGTTTCTGCTCATACTCCTCTCGGACACTTCATTTTCCCTGTCTGATCTATGCATTCACATGCTGACTCCACTGACCCGCTCCCTTAATTACTTCTCCTCCTCCTGACTTCCTGTAGCCCTCCTCCCTCACCTCCCCTGTTTCCTGCTAAGCTCTAGTGTCCGCGGTGACAGAGCGAGAGGCAGACAGACAGCGCGCCCTCGCACTCGTACAGAAGAGGAAGCCGAGTCTGTTAACACCCACACCTGTCAGCTCACGGGACGCTCGCTGAACGAGATGTGAACGGAGTACAGCGACAGATGAAGGAGTGCGAGGGACACGCGCTCCTGTTCTATTAGTGCTGTTTGCTCTTCTCAAAACACAAGTCATGTCTACAGATCAGACTATGAGACGGACTTAAGGGGGGTTTGTTTAGTTCAGTGACCACTTAGCAACCACATAGCAACACACTAAAAACACTCAGAACACCCCAGAAACTGGATAGCGACACCCTGGCAAACAATCGAAATACCAAGCAAGCATTCCTAGAACACCCTAAAACACCCTTGCAACTGCACAGCAACCCCAATATCTTTAGTCCTGCATAGCAAGTTTCTAAACCCACTCAGAACACCCTAACCACCACACATCAACAGCCTAAACTTGTTTAGAACACCATAGCAACTGCATAGCAACACCACTATCTTTAGTCCTGTATAGCAACTTTCTAAACCCACTCAGAACACCCTAACAACTACACAGCAACAACCTAAACTTGTTTAGAACACCCAAGCAACTGCATAGCAACACCAATCTCTTTAGTCCTGCATAGCAACATTCTAAACCCACTCAGGACACCCTAACAACCACATAGCAACAACCTACATTTATTTAGAACACCCTAGCAACTGCATAGCAACACTGATCCCCTTTATCCTGCATAGCAACAATCTAAACCAACTGAGAACACCCTAACAACCACATAGCAACAACCTAAACTTATTTAGAATACCCTAGCAACTGCACAGCAACATCTATCTATTTAGTCCTGCATAGCAACTTCCAAACCCTTTTAGAACAACCTAACAACCACATAGCAAATGTAAACTTATTTACAACACCCTAGCAAATGCATAGGAACACACATCTCTTTTGTCTTGCATATCAACATTCTAAACCCACTCAGAGCACCCTAACAATCACATAGCAACAACCTAAACGTATTTAGAACACCCCAGCAACCGCATAGCAACACACTAAGGGTGTACTCACACTAGGCACAGTTGCCTTGAACCGAGCGCGATTATCCCCCCTCCCCATTTCCCCGCTGGTCTGCACTCACACTGCACTAACATTTCCTGTTCATCAATAAGGTAAGAACCAGAGCCATTATAAACCTAAATATACTTGACTAGATTAAATTAATTGAAAAGTGTCGTGTAGTAGTAGTAACAGAATATGGTTGCGGTCGTAATGATGATAGTGGCGCACACAAAATTTTCCGTGCTCCGGCGCGGTTAGCGCTCACACTGCATGCGCACCGTGCCCGAGCCCAACCGAACCGTGCCCTGACCCACCTCTTCCAACCGGGCCAGGGCCGGCTAAACGAACCGCGCCCGAATGCGGCACGGAGCGCTCACACTGGTCAAACGAACCAGGCTTTGGGGGTCAAGCGCACGGGCACTGTTCAAAACGCCTAGTGTGAGTACACCCTAAAAAAGACCCAGAACACATCAGTAAACAACCTGATCACCCTAGCAACTGCATAGCAACGCCCAAATCTACTTAGAAAACATCCTAAACACCACAGAGCAACAGTCTAGAGTTTCATAAAGGCAAGGCTCAAAGACTCTCCAGTAAGAGAACAGTGTATTTCTGAGAGTCTGTAGTGAGCGGGTGAAAGCTTTGGCCTGATGCTCCTTTACTGTGATGCCAGTGAAGTTTGGGCTAGGACAGACAGAATGAGGAGAAAAAAGCAATAGAGTGAAGAGTCAGCAGCAGCAGCAATAGCAGCCTCTCTCAGGTCAGCATGACACCTCCAGCAGAACACAGAGAGAACGAACTGATGAAAGCTGAGGCTACGGCTCTGAAAGAGGCCCGACGGGAGGCAAACAGCACTGAAGAACAAAGAGAGAACAGCCCAACAGATTGTTAGAAATATGAGACAAGATATCCTCAAGACATCAGCACTTTTTCCTGATAAAAGCCCTCAAAATGCCAACCATGTGCTGCTTTGTTTTTGAGGGTTTTGTAGAATTCCAGGACATGAAGTGTAATCAAGGTTGAAATGCTGACAGCAAGTAAACAAATTAAACTCCATTACAGCTGACAGTGTGTTGAGTTCTGCATGCTTTTATTTTTGCACAAGTTTGGTATTAAAATTAAACCGTTCACCCAAAAATATCAACTGCTCATCCTCAGAACATTTTTCCTTTGAGGAAGTGCAGAATATTAGAATATTCAGATTTGACATTTCCGTGCCACAAAATATATTTTTCAGTGAACTATTTTTTTTAAGGAATGTGACGTTAAAATCTAGTTGAATTATTTTTATGTTATGGACTATTATTAATAAATTACTTATACATTATTACTTATTATGGCCAATTAAAATTACTGGCAGAATTAAGTAATTGTTTAAAGTTTGATGCTGTTTTATTAAATATAAATAAAAAATAAATTGGATAAAATAGTTAAAAACAATACATAAATAAATAAACGTTTATTCCATCACTACGTTCTTAGCAAATCGCTCAAACATGCTCTTAAAGGGCTAGAATGTTTTAAGAGACACTCTTTAAAGGGTTAGTTCACCCAAAAATTAAAATTAGGCAGTTTTTTTACTCACCCCCGAGGCATCCTAGGTGTATATGACTTTCTTCTTTCAGAAGAATCCAGTCGGAGTTATATTAAAAATTGTCCTGGCTATTCCAAGCTCTATCATTGCAGTCAGCGGGTGTTGCAGTGCTTCAGTCCAAAAGAAGTGAAATAAAAAGCGCCCATCCATAAAAAAAAGTCTCTCAAATGGCTCCGGGGGGTGAACAAAGTCTGACTGGATTCGTCTGAAAGAGGAAAGTCATATACACCTAGGATGCCTCGGGGGTGAGTTAAACACAGCCTAATTTTCATTCTTGGGTGAACTAACCCTTTAAGGGTTAAATCTTTCGATTTCCCTTTAACTTGGTGCTAGATGATGGGGAAATAAGCGAATAATAATAATAATTCAATAATATTAAATATCCAATAAATAGATCAATGAAAAAGATTGCTGATGTCATCCCATCTAATACTGTACAGATCCCATTTATCTGAAAAATACTGTATATGTAATTCTCATATTTTTCCCCTGAGAAAAAGAAAAGGCTGGTGCTGAGATCACTGGTTATTCAATTCCTGTGAATTCACCCAAAACCAAAAAGCAAAAATGCCTTCAAGAAAGCGGTGTTGTTACTGGCACCAGCACCGTATGTCCTGAGAAAACGAGTGGTTCAGGAAACAAGCCGCTCGAGAGGCTGTGTGATTCCAGAGGCTGAAGAGTCCTGACAGACAGTGATCCGTCTCTACGAGAATGAGCTCACGCCACAGGCAAACACCGACAGCAGACAGACAGAAGCTCCTGGAGCAGATACCAGGCTCTTCACTGCTCTCTCACTCAGTCCTGCTGTCTCTTGGTCTTGAAGGCTTGAACAGCAATGCATGTTTTCATGAAAACAAATTTCCTTCACCTTTCTCTGTCCCACCAGATGAAACTTATATGCATTCATTATTCCTTACAACTTTAAATTGCTGACTCTTCTTGTTTTAGTGCCTCCTTAAAGGAACAGTTCACCCCAAAATTTTAATTTACTGAAAATGTTCTCACTCTCAGGCCATTTAAGATGTACATGAAATGTAGCATTGAGAAGGCAAAAGCGGTGTGTTTAGAACGGTTTTAGACTGTTTTGGCTTGTAAACAGTGCTTGATCGGTGCAGATTTCTCTCCTGATTCAGATTACACGACATTTTCCACAGGAGAAAGCAATATTATGGATGGAGGACTCGTATTTTATCCAGACACAATGGTCTTAATGTTAGATTTGTTTCTTACAAACATGAAGCTTTTCACTTCACAAGATGTTAACTGATGGACTGGAGTGGTGTGGATTATTGTGATGTTTTTATCAGCTGTTTGGACTCTCATTCTGACGGCACCCATTCACTGCAGAGCATCCACTGGTGAGCAAGTGATGGAATGCTACATTTCTCCAAATCTGTTCTGATGACGAAAAACTCATCTACATCTTGAATGGCCAAAGGGTGAATGAATGATTCGTATTATGCAGCAGTGCATTGTGGGTAGGTGTCTGTGATACAAATGCTTACTTGTGGAAGATCTTGGCCCGTTTATCACTCGAAAAGTTCTCCAGCTGCAAAGACTCTTGGGTAAGGAATGCCACAGCGAGGTGGAAATAGTTATTCCACAGCTGAGAGAAAAAGAAGAGATCAGTTATTAAAGTAATGCTCATCAAGACATTTGAGGAATCACTCATTTTTATAACACAGAGAATGAGGAATGGGTTATGCATACTAGTTTAACACTTAGTGTGAAAGATTTGAACAAAGTATGAGCAATAAGTACGAACAATAAGTATGAGCAACAGTCTGTGCACACACTGCTATTGAAAGCACAGAAGAGCTGATGCCACTCAACAATTATTTCAAAATAATTCATTGTCTCTTGAAAGCCAGAGTGTGCATCGCCAGATGGGTTCATGGGTAAAACGAGGACTGGGATAAGAATAACCACCAAACGGCAACAACCAACACAAGCACAAAGCTCAGAGAAGAGCCGCTTCAAATATTCAAATCAGATGCTGGGAAATTGCAGCCTATTAGCCTGTCATGAGTTATTCTGGTAGAGAACTTTAATGATCCCTGCTGGAACTTCCTCTAACACAACCAGGCCAAAAGTGCTTTTCATAAATAAGACTATGTTTGTTTTTGTTGTTTTCTGGTAGCACGCCTAGTCTTAATGCATTATACAGGTACACTATTAAATGGACAGTTCATCTAAAAATGTTTAAACTGATTTTCTCTCTTGCATTGAACACAAAATTTGACTCAATTTAGGTGGTATAATTCCAACATTTACAAATAATGTAATTAAATGACAACAAAAGAAATGCAGACAGCATTGATGAAGTAAACACCCATTTAACTGATTAATTACATTACATAATTTTTAAAAACATTATTAATCACCCAAGATGAAACTTTGTAGGCGGGTTTCTTCTTTAGATGAAAGGTCATATGCAAGGCAAAACACAAAAGTAAAGTAAAGTAAATTTCTCTTAAACAACATGCACATGACCAGGAACATGTATTAAGAAACTGAATTGTATAAAATAAATAAATGTAATAAATGCTGCAATGCACTACAATATACAACCCAATATAAACAGATTATGTACATTACAGCCAATTAACATTATTATCTAAACGTATGTCAAATGAAAAAGCTATGTAAAAGATAAATAAAACTAAATGACAAATCAAATCAAATAAATGTATAAATACTAAATAAAACAAATAAATACGGTAATATACCACAATATGAAAGCCAATATAAACAGACCATTTACATTAAATCCATTATTACTGTTCAAAGTTATTTCAGCTGAAAAGGAAAGTAGTTTCAGAGGCCAAGCAAGTTTGAATGAATGAATAAATAAATAAATAAATAAATATATAAATAGTATGCTATACATACATAAATGCACATGACCAGGACTACATCAATTTGCCCTCATGTCATTCCACACTGATATTTTTTCTTGAACACATAAGGGGATTTAGCATATACTGGCAGTGGACGGGGACCAAAGACTCCTCGTTTGTTCCAAGCAATATATTACAGACCATTTACATTAAATCCATTATTACTGTTCAAAGTTATTTCAGCTGAAAAGGAAAGTAGTTTCAGAGGCCAAGCAAGTTTGAATGAATGAATAAATAAATAAATAAATAAATATATAAATAGTATGCTATACATACATAAATGCACATGACCAGGACTACGTCAATTTGCCCTCATGTCATTCCACACTGATATTTTTTCTTGAACACATAAGGGGATTTAGCATATACTGGCAGTGGACGGGGACCAAAGACTCCTCGTTTGTTCCAAGCAATATATTAAAAAAAAGATTCTCACCTGCAGCTCAAAGTTGGTTTGATCAAGGAACTTCTTGCTGAGTACGGCGGCGTACTGATTGATGGCTCGCAGGAAGACTCTGGAATCAGAGAAATTATCCATTCATTTTCATATTTAAATGAGCGTGTTTATTTCTTAACCACAGCCTGTAGAAAATGAACCATAAACACAGCCAGTTAAACACAGAATAATGTCATTCCTGACACAGAGCTACAGCCACGTTCAGTGTGCGGCGAGAAAGCACATAAACTACAGATGATAAATTTAATCAGGTCTTTAACTCCGCCACACTGAGACCACATTAGGAGGATATTAGAGAGACTTAAAAACGTTCTATCCACTTAGTTCAATAAAGGCCGTCGCTAATGAACTGAGAGAGAACAAGAAATCTTTATATACTTCTCTAACTGCGTCACCGCTGAAGAAAAGGAGAAAGAGCGAATGGAGAGGAAGAACAGAACGGAGAGACTTAAATCACAGCAAAATGACAATCTGCAATCAGACCGTGATGAACAGACTCAAAGCGCTGAACGTCCAGATCATTTCACATCAAATCATTTCAGAGGAAGAGCAATTCAAATATATATGATGAAAGGCTATGCTTAATAAATAAATACATTAATTAATTTGTTTTAATGAACACCCACATGACAAGGAACGTGTATTAGGAACATTAAATAGTTTAATACATAAAATCCATTTTTATTTCATGTTCAGCTGTTCTGCTAGGTAGCCTAAAGTCTAACATTATCAAACTGTCATGTGAGGACACTTGAGAAACACCAGCCGATGCTTCAATATCAAGTGTCAAAAGTCACCAGCTGAAGTAGATCGGACAAGTTTCTTATTATTAATTTCCACCATGAAAGTGCGAGCAGCGATGTTAATGTCTGACCCCTCATGTGTGAGCGTCTGTCAGATGTTTGACATCTCATTAGCGCCACTGGATATCAGCGACTGAATTGTAAGTCGTCTTAAAAGGCTCTGGCTGTGTAAACGCATCAGAAGCCTTATTAATCATCCTTTAATCTCGAGCGGGGCGGCGCGATACGAGCCGAATGAATTTCTGATCGACTAAGATAAAGAGTGCGAGCGAGCGCTAACATCACGGATCTGGAGGACGTTTGACTCCTGCATTGTAACGGAGAGATGGAGAGTTTCTCATCAGGGCCAACAGATACAATCTGTTTATAATGAGCTGGTGAAAAATGACTGCTTAATGTGACTGCAGATATTAATAATGCAAGTGAGCTTTACTGAATCAACAGATGGACAGACAGACTGATGACAGACTATAGACTTTAGTCACAGCGGACCGCAGATTTAATCTGACACGCATGAAAATGAGGATGTGTATGAAAGCAGCAGTAGCTTCAATACGTTGCATTAGGAAATTATACTCCATTGTTGACACTGTGGTAAATGCATCAGTGCACAGCTATCAAAGTGTAGAACTGCTTTTTATTATTTAAATGTGAGATTGAGCATGAAGACAGAGAAATCTGAAGATAGAGAGCGGGATGTGTCTGTTTTTGGTTTGAAACAAAACAAAAAACATGGTATGCTTTATTTTAGTAATTAACTGGATAATATATACACTTATTTAAAAAAAAAAAAGTAATACTTTTATTCAGAAATGATGCATTATATTGATCAAAACTGCCAGTAAAGACATTTATAATGTTACAAAAGATTCATTTTTTAAATAAATGCTGTTTTTTTTAACTTTCTATTCACCAAAGAATCCAGAAAAATATAATGCATCACGTTTTCGAAAAAAATGTGAAGCAGCACAACTATTTTTTAACACTGATAATAATCCGAAAGGTTTCTTGAGCAGCAAATCAGCATATTAGAATGATTTCTTTAGACTGGTGTAATGATGATGGAAATTCAGCTTTGATCAAAGGAATAAATTATATTTTTACAACATATTCAAATAGAAACCAGTTATTTAAATCAGTAATAGTATTTCACATGTTTTTACAGTATTATTTAACAAAAAAACATTCAGCCTTGATGAGCATTAAGCATGTTCAAAAACATTAAAAAAAACAATCCCCAAAATTTGAATATTGGTGTAATTAATGCATGTTTTACTTATACACAATTCGTTTTCAATTAAAAACTTCTGTGTATCATAACATAAACCACTACTGTGATATAAATTCCCTCATCCCCCGTAATATTTTCTGTATTATTGTTGTGGAAATGTGAGGCACAATGACTTTGATAAAAACAGCTTCATTTGTGTGAACTCGGTCATGCCATCTGATCGTAATACTGAAGTAAAGTGACATTTTAAGTCATTTTTAGCATCAGAAATTAGTGTTTTAGAGCTTCCAAACATGCAGTACAAAACTCTCTATAAAGAAAAGGAAAGAAAACAGAAATGCAGCAGCAGCTCATAACCTAAACTGCATTTCATTGATTGAATATTCTATTCCACAGTCAAAAATACATTTTGTGTCAAAATGATAGATTGCTCAGTGCCGCGTCTGCCATTATAACACAAATCACTGGTTAACATCATCTTCTGGAAGGAAAATAGGTTATAGTTTCCAGAGGTGAACCGTGTGTTTAAATATAATTTCCATCTCAGTTAAACATGCAGAAACAACTAAGTAAGCCAACAGTAAGTAAAAGTGTAATACTGTAGTACTTTGTGGCATTAAACATTGCTCTGTCTGTCCTCAAATGATGCCGCTGAGTGTGTCGAGCTACACTATCATTCAAAAGTTTGGAGTCTCTTCTGCTCACCAAGGCTGCATTTATTTGATTAAAAATAAAGTAAAAACTGTCAAATTATGAAATATTATTACATTTTAAAATAACTCCTTTCTATTTGAATGTATTGCAAAGTGTAATTTTTTTTTCTGTTATCAAAGCTGTATTTTCAGCATCATTACTCCAGTCTTCAGTGTCACATGATCCTTCAGAAATCATTCTAATATGCTGATTTGCTGCTCAAGAAACATTTCTGCTATCGTCAATGTTGAAAACAGTTGTTCTGTGGATATTTTTGTCTTTGATGAATAGAAAGTCTAAAAGAACAGCATTTATTTAAAAAAGAAATCTTTTGTGTCTTTGTCACTTTTGATGAATTCAAGGCATCCTTGCTGAAAAAAAGCATCAATTTCTTTCAAAAACTGCTCAAAATCTCCAGACGTCATGTTTTACAGCTGCTATTTCACTTACATGAAAATACAATTCTGCTATCTCTTCACTAGAACAATCACTTTGGACAAAAACTAACTAAACGGACACAACTGAGACGGAGTCGAGGCTGCAGGATCAGGACAGACTGGTACAGATGAACAGTAGATGTGTTTTCAGTCTGCTGAACACTAAAGATTTACTGCGTCTGTGACCTTACAGAACATCAGGACGTGTCACTCTTAATCACATCCGAGACTCAAGCAGAACATCTGGAAAAAACACCTGGAGAAAAGGTCATACGGGTCACTAAATGATGACCAGTTTTAGCTTTGGCTGAACTATTCCTTTAACTCACAGGACTAATTTACATATATTAAACACAGTTCATGCATTTGCATTATTTTCCATTATGGCTACTTCACAGACACCTGGTGGTTCTTGCACACGCAACAATAATCATCCTAATGATATATTGCAAAGATGTTCTTAGTGAATTTTTTTTAGGGATACCAAGGTTTTTAACTAATAAATTACTGATAAATATATAAATTAATAAAAATATATCACTGAAGTATTTTGTGGAAAACATTTTAAGATAAGTAATAAACAAACAAACACATTACACATTTCTAAAATAACTTAAAAACTAAATAAAACTAAATCCAAAAATATAACAATAAATAGAAATAAAATTTATTAAAACAAAACATTACAAAAACAAAAGAAATACAATAATAAAAAATAAAAAACATCACAACAAAAAATATAAAAGTAAAAGAAAATAATACAATAATAAATAAAACAACAAAATAAATCAAAACAAAAATAATAAAATAGGATCAAATAAATTCATGGAAACATTGATTATACTGTAGATGTTTGTAAATGACAGGAGCTGACGAAGGAACACTTTCAATAAAATAAATAAACAAACTTAAATAAAATAAAACAGAACTTAAAACATCATAAAAATAAAACATCACAACAAAAAATACAATAAATAGAATAGAAAAAACACAAACTAAATAAAGAAACTAAAATAAATTCAGACACCTCCATCACAGGTGTCTGTAAATGATAGTACATGATGAAGAAACACTTTCTTAACGACAAATTTAGGATATTTTTAAATCAAATTTGCATGGGAATTTATACAGAGGTTTAAAGACAGCTTCAAACGTGGCTCATCTAATCAATTTCAGTCAAACTTGATCTGTTTCATCAGTTCCTTCTGCCTCCATAAATAAACCGGATCAACAAGCCAAGAAAAACACATTCTGTTTGTCTCTAAGACCCGAGTAACACTGATGAACGTGGCCGGGCTCTCATACTGACGAACTGCTTTCATTTCAGAAACAGTTTACCCGTTCATCAGAGCATCAGAAGGCCAACAACCGTGTAAGACGGTTAAAGATGATTCCTCTAATGCTGCAGCTGCTCAATATAAGGCCGCGAGGTCAAACGAATCCCACTTTAATGATTCCTCAGTACATCCCTCGCGCTCTTCCCTTTAATACCACTGACGAGAGAATCAATGCGTGCAGACGCAGCCGTGTGAGCCAAACAAACAGCAGCCGGGCTCTGATCTCCACAAAGCTGTCTGGGATGCAAACAGAGCAAAGACAAGCCTCATTTTCATCCCCTCACAATTAAAACCAATCAGTCTGTACACTCGAGCACGGCAGGGCAAACACCAGAAACGCCAGCAGATTTCACATGCATCGTTCACCGCTGCTCATGAAGATCCAGTCACAGATGCGTGTGTTTGTGTTGCAGGCAGATCTAATGACTCTGACTGGTCTGCTGATCCATGAAACTCAAAAGCAATTCTGCTGCATTAGAGGAATTGCAAAAACATCCATTTACTACGTCTTTCTAGCAGCGAGCGCCAGCAAACTGAGGTCATGATGCTGCTGCGGT